CTGGATATTTCTCACTTTTAATAAAACTAGCAACTTTCTAAAAAAAAAAATCTTCTATCATTCAATTTTAATTCAGCTAGATGATATAACAACTTCAAAAATTACTACATGACACAATGAAAAAAAGATTCACATGAAAACTTTTTAAAAATAAAATATTTCGGGAAATTGATTTAATTGACATGTTATTGGAAAGAAAGAAAAATTTTAAAAATTATTTAAAAATACCAACAAATATTAACTTGTTGACGTGAAAAATATATGTTAAGTAGGAGCGTGGAGTTAGTCTTTTCGTTAATATAATTTAACAATGTTAATAAAAGTGATTAAATTTATTAATTTAAAATGTAAGTTATTCCATAAGGAAATGAATATATGTTTTTAATAGGACCATTACATCAAGTGGTTACACACGTGAGTAAGGTGGGCCATTGATATCTCTGAGGATGAGGCAAGAAGCTGAATCGGAAGGGGATCAACAACAACAAGTGCATCTAAGGAGTGGACTGAAAGACAACAAGATTTCGAGCTTTCCATATTTACCAAGATAAAGAGCCAAAGTAGCCAATCTCCATTGGTCAAGATCAAAGAAAGTGCGGAAGGGTGCTTTATGAGGTCTGTTCCATATGTAGCGTGAGGTGGTGCAGTCCTGTAAGATGTGCAGCATGGTCTCATTTGCATCGTGGCAAAAACGACAGGAGGGGTCGTCTCCAATTCCACGTCGGCAACGGTTGAAGTTGGTTAAATTTATGTCCCTCGTTGTCAACCAAAGGAATCCTCGTAGTCTTTCTGGAACCTGTAAATTCCAAATCGCAGACCAGCAGAGGCTTTTAACATTCCAAGAGGATAATAAGCATAAGGCATGATAGGCGCCAGAGACTGAAAAAATTATGTTGGGGGATATCGACTAATAGCAAACGTCCGGACCCGCCCCTGAAGAGGGGGCTAAAGTGCTTCTTATGAATGGAAGGGTAGTCAACTCCAACAAATAATTTAACAAATCCCAATCCCATGTCTCATCACTGTGCGCCACTTCAGCAACGGTCAAGGAGGCATTCAAGGGGCATCTTGGATTTGCAAAATATAGAAGCAGACCAATGGATGGAGTCCATGTGTCGTTCCAAAAGTTTACAGATAGTCCATCACTCATAGACCAGGCCAAATTGGCATAAAAGGAGGGGCACAAGTTGTTTAGGTTACGCCAAAGAGTGGAGCAAACAGAACGACGGATCGAGAAAGGGTAGGCCTCAGTGATTTTGTACTTTTCTCAGAGCAAAGAGATCCAAAAAGCTAATGGTGTAAATATAAGAGCAGTGCATATTTTGAAGAGAAGTGCAACATTCTGAAATTCCATGCGACAAATACCTAGACCACAAGAGGAGACAGGTTGGCAAAAGTTGTCCCAATTAACCAAAACTACGGAAGATGTCGAAGAGGAAGAACCCCAGACGAAACAACGAACCATCCGCTCGATCTCATTACATAGAGAACTAGGAAGCTTACAGACTTGCATAATAAAAGTGGGAATACTAAGAAGAACCAATTTTGCAAGTGTGACCCGTCCTGAAAACGGGAGTGTATGAGCCGACCATTCATCAAGCTTTTGTCGAATTCTGTCTATGATGAAACTATAGAGATCCTTGGATGCATTAGAATGTCGAATCGGTGCACCCAAATATTTTCCCAGTTTAGCAACTTCACGAAAGCCAAGCTTGGAACAAATTGCCTCTCGTGTTGATAAAAGAGTATTTGGTGAAAAGAAAATTGCCGTTTTATGTTTGTTAACTGAGTGACCTGAATGGTGGCCGAAAAGAGTCAAAGTTGAGTCAATGATTGTTAACCGAGTGACCTGAAAGGTGGCCGAAAAGAGTCAAAGTTGAGTCAATGAACGTGGCATTAGCAAGGTCACCTTTAGCATATAAGATGAAGTCGTCGACAAAATATAAATGGGAAACCGGAGTGCCTTGGCGAGACATCCGTATAGCCGATCAAGTATCGGCATTCACTTCCTGATACCAGGCACTTTCAAAAGTTTCATAGCAAAAACAGAGGTCTTTATTTCTTCTTCCTCATGAGGGGATGTTAAGTCCGAAACAACCATGCTCGACAAAGAGGGAAATGCTCCTGCAATGGGGAAGGCTTCCACCATGGGTGACGAACAGACGAGTGAAATAAAAGGCAGCTTCATTTTGTAAGGCACTTTCATCATCACACCAATCGTCATTACTGACATTAAAACAACGAATAAAGAGAATCATCCCAATTAGAGTTGACAAAATGTTTGAAGTCACGATGAAGGGACCAACTAAAGAGATATAGGAACCGCTAATTATTACGTCCGTTAGAAGGAGCCAAAAGAGATAGGAGAATTGGCCTATGATCAGATTTCATTCGCACCAAATGTTGAAGAGATGATGAGGGAAAAGCCCCAAGCCAGTGAGAATTGTCAATGCTTCGATCTATCGGACGGAGTGAAGCTTGGTCCATGATACCCAAGATCTTGCAACCCAATGTTATAAACCATGCTTTGGAAGTCTTTATCTGTGGATGAAGAAGTGGTACAACCCCTACGGTCATCATGGTAGAGAGTGACATTGAAATCACCCATAAACAGTCAAGGCTGAGAAACTGTAGTCGCAAGAGCTTCCAGAGAAGACCAAAGTAATTTCCGAATAGCGGAGGACGAACTTGCATAAATTGAAAGTCGATAAGAACAGAGTTTTGTCAAGGTGTCTTTAGTCTAGGATTCGATAGTGGGTAAATTGAAAATGAAAGAACGAGATATCCACGTGGATATGATCATACCAACATAGCCACATCACACCAAAGAATCCGATACCTTTAACCTTGTGGGAATTTCGAAAACCCAAAGCAACAATTATTCGATCAGCTCGGACCCCGCTAATTTGTGGTTCCACAAAAACACAGATGTCAGGATGATGATCACGGAGATACTGACGTGTAACACGTAAGAAATTCCTGCTAACACAACCTTGCACATTCCAAACGAAAGTTTTTAAAACAAAAAACAAAAAAGCTTAAAGGATCCGGGAGGCCAGAAACCACTCAACCATGGCCATGAGAGCAGTGGATGTGGGATCAGAAGCAGGATCAATTCCCTGCGCCAACAAGGTGGGGGCTGGAGGATGGTCAGTGTGCTCCATTATAATGTAATCAGAATTACAGTCTCAATATCCAGATGTTGCGATGTCATATTAGAAGTAGAATCTCCATTCTCAACAACCTACTGCATATGAATAGCAAGCGAGCCCGCGATTGGGGTATCATCTATTGCCATGACAACTGTGGCATGCTTGGTGGGGTTGAGAGAATTTTTTATTAGCAGGTCTGGAAGAACGATTGGAACTGGCAGAATGTTTGTCCAGACCTGTGGGGAAGGAATATTCAAGTTTCGAGCACCTAAAACGACCACAGGTTGCTTTCGCAACGTAACCGGAGCTTTTCCTTTTGCTTTATGACTGTCAGATGAGCAGGGATAATTCTCTTTACCATGAGCAGTTTTATTCTTTGGAACGGAAGCAGTTGTGCAAGCAGTTGGAGGGTGCGATTGAGGATTAGCATTCTCATTTTCGGTCTGGGCATCATGGCCATCTTGGAGGGGCTAAATCTAGAGGAATGGATAGTTGCAGTAGTTTTCGGTTGAGCTTGGCCAAATTCTTTTCGAGTTGGTCGGCATTTCTTTTTCTCAACAAGCATCCAAGTACCGAAGGGATCCGAGGGAGCAGAATTCTCAGTGTCAATAATGGGTTGTTCATGATTGCTATTGGCATCATCTGTAGAATTATTCATCTTCTTTGGGCAACAATCACTTGTGTGTCCATAAGATACCACACTTCAAGCAAACCATTCGGAGTGATTCATATTCAATGAGTTGTGCCTGACCATTTATAACAATTTTCGAGACTAGAGGATTGTTCAAGTTAATTGTCACAACCATACGAGCGAATCTACCGCAACGATCGTTATATGTTTGATAATCTATTTTCGCGACCGAGCCAAGGCACGATTCGATCACCTCAATCAAACTTTATTTATACCACGTAATCGGAAAACCCGGAAGGCGCATCCATGCCATTATTCTGTTGGGATACAATTGCAAGGTTCTAAAATCCGGAGACCAAGGCTCCATAGTGATGTAATGACCGAAGAATGTCCTTGGACCATCAGATAGGACTTTCATGTAGTCACTGTGTGCCGAGAACTTGCCCAGAAAATAATCGTTTTCAATGTCAATCAATTTTAGAGGGTGGAATGGTTTCCAGATGTTAAGTATCCGAGAATGGAAGGTGTTGTAGCCAATCTATCGACCTAGGATCTTGAGAACTAAAGTTTGGTCCATGCTTTTTAGTGCTAGGTTTTGAACCCAATTACAGAAATTAATGAAAAGAATCTCATCTGCTTCCCCAACGCTAATGACTTCATCGAACAGTTCTAGATCATCATCATTACAGGATAAAAGATCTCCGTCTAAGGGAGCAGAGTTGAAACCTAGAACAGTATCTTTATAAGAAACTTGTGGGGAACTGGAGGAGGGCTTACGCATGACGACGCTCGCGGGGTAGAGTTATTAGGCAGCGCTTCATCCCAGCGACGCTCGTTAGAATTTATAAAAAATAATTAAAATTATCACGATTAATTTTTTATTTAACGATGCTAAAAAATAGGGCAATAAAAATAATTTTATATATTTTAAATATAAAAATAGCATGATGTACTCCTAACTGATGTCATTCATTCATGTTAATTTTTTTAAAAGGGAAAATATTTTAATAAATAATTTAAAAATAAATAATAAAAAAGTGTACTTTAATAAACAACCTTTTAAGCCTTAAAATTCTAAGAAGAACCCAAATTGTCCTTAAATAAAGGGTCTAAAGGAAAATGAGGCCCAATGTTTCAAAGAACTTAACAGTCTGAACCAGCAACTCTACTAAACATCAGACACAGCTCGGAACAGTTAAACACGAACACGACACAGCTGAACTAATGTCTTCCACTCTGTGTTCTTCCACCGCCAAAACACTAATATCTCCACTCAGCCGGAAATTCACAAAATTCAGGTCTTTTTCTCTTCTGTGTTCCTTTGAACTTTTCACTACAACCTCAAAGCCTGATGAACAAAACGCCACTGTTCAAAGCCACTCGCAGTTCTCCGGTTACTCTTCTCAACTGTTGTTTTGCTAAAAAAAGTTCAACATTTTGTATTAATATATGTTTCTTATTATGATTTTTTTTGGTAGATTTGGAGAACAGCATATATACAATCTTAACTATAGACCGTTGGGAGTCCTTGAACCACATGGATTACAAGTTAGCTTCTTTGAGGCAAGTTCATGGAAGGCTAGCTTTGAAATTTCTCAACTTTTTTATCAAACAGCCTGGTTTGGAACACAATCATCTTGCTCATGTACTTTCAATGACAACCCATATTCTTGTTAGAGCTAGAATGTATGATTCGGCTAAATCATTGTTGAGGCGCTTATGTAAAATGGGTGTTGACTCGAAGTTTGTTTTTGGTGTTTTGATGGATACATACCCTCTTTGCAATTCAAACCCTTCGGTTTTCGATCTATTAATCAGGGGTTATCTGAAAGATGGAATGATTGATCATGCTTTGGAGACTGTCGGGTTTATGCGTTCTCGAGGATTCAAGCCATCGGTTTATACTTGTAATATGATGTTAGGCTCAATGGTGAAAGATGGGAGAGTTTGTACTGTTTGGTCATTTTTCAGGGAATTGCTTGATTTGAAGATTTGTCCTAATATTGCTACTTTTAATATATTGATCAGTGTTTTGTGTGCCGAAGGGAAACTCAAGAAAGCTGTTTATTTGTTGAGAAAGATGGAGAACAGCGGTTACCTACCGACTATAGTTACTTACAATACTTTTCTCCATTGGTTTTGCAAGAAGGGGAGGTATAAATCGGCCTTCGAGCTGATTGATCGTATGGGGTCCAAGGGTATTGAAGCAGATGTATGTACATATAATTTTCTTATTAACGATTTGTGTAGAAATGACCGAAGTGCTAAAGCTTACTTGCTGTTAAAAAAGATGAGAAAAAGAAGGATATCTCCAAATGCCATTACCTATAACACTCTCATTAAAGGGTTTGTAAAGGGTGGAAATGTTCGGATTGCTACTCGGGTTTTTGATGAGATTGCATGTTCTAATCTTGAGCCGAATGTTGCTACTTACAATGCTTTGATTGAAGGTCATTCTAATGAGGCTAACTTTGAAGAAGCTCTAAGACTCGTGGATATGATGGAAAAAGTGGGATTACAGCCTAATGAAGTTAGCTACGGAGCACTTTTAAATGGGTTGTGCAGGCATGCTAAGTTTGATCTAGCGAGAAGTATTTTTGAGAGATTCAGGACAATTGGCATGGGTTTTGGTTGTTTACCGTACACTGAAATGATTGATGGACTATGCAAGAATGGGTTCTTCAATAAAGCTGTACATATGCTTCATAAGATGCTCGAGGAAGGTGTGACTCCTGATATTATTACATTTTCCGTGCTTATAAATGGATTTCACAAGGCTGGGAAGATAAAAAGTGTGAAGGAAATTATATGTAAAATGTATAGAGCTGGTTTTGAACCTAACAAAGTTATTTTCTCCTCATTAATCTACAATTTCTGTAGGATGGGATTCGTCTCTGAAGCATTGAATGTCTACAGAATTATGAATTGCAGCGGCCATGCTGCTGACAGTTTTACTTGTAACATGTTGGTTGCTTCTCTTTGTAGAGATGGAAAAGTTCGAGAGGCTGAGGATTTCATGAGTCACATGAGTCAGATTGGTTGTAATGCTAACTACGTCACATTTGATTGTCTTATAAGTGGATATGGAAATTTGGGTGATGGCCTGAAGGCATTTTATTTGTTCGATGAGATGGTTAAAATAGGTAATAATCCCAGTTTTTTCACATACGGCAGCCTACTCAAAGGACTACGTAAGGGTGGAAATCTGGTAGAAGCGAAGAGATTGTTGAACAACCTGCATTACGTTCCTTCGGCGGTAGGTAATGTTGTCTACAACACCATGCTTGCTGGGACCTGCAAATCAGGGAATATGTCGGAATCAGCGGCCCTTTTCGATGAGATGGTTCGGTTTGGTATTCTTCCTGATAGTTATACATATACCATCCTTCTTTATGGGTTTTGTAGAAAGGGAAAAGTTGTTGTTTGTTATGGTTGGAAGAGAAGAAGAACGGAGGAGGGAAGAGATTGGGAATGGACGAAAGAGGGGAGGATTTGGGGATGGAGGCTCGAGGGTTAGAGATTAAAAAATATGAATTGGGAATTAAAATGGAAGAGGGCAGATGATTATGTTACCTGATGAGAGGGAGCAGGTCGAGATGGAGCAGACCAGAAGCATAATCGAGCGGCCCAGATCGGTTGGCCCAAATGAAGGCTAAAAAGGGAAATGATACAAAAGCAAGTCTGTTAGCAAAAATGTCAGCTGGCAGGAATTAGATTCTCAGTACTATTTTTGTAACTAAATAAAATACCTGTTGTAGTCATCTTTTGCTCATGAATTGAATGACTGAGAAATCATTTCTGTAATCTCCATTCTTCTTCTTCTAAAATCCCAACTTCTTCGATAATTTCTTCTTCTTATTTCCCAATCCACAACAAATTGGTATCGAGAGCTTCGGTTCTGGCAAGTAAATCACGAGCATGACAAAGAAAAATCAGAGTATGGAGGCAGATTTAGCTGGGTTACAGAAACAGATGGAAGATTTGACAACGTTGGTGAAAAAGGGTAACGATGATTCTAATACACCTAAATGGTGGGAAGCCCAAGAGAACAGAATTACTGCAATGGAGACTAGAATGGCTACCAACCAAGGATATGTGGAAAAACTCTTGAAGATTTTAACTGGCAGAGATGGAGAACAGGAGCAGTCTGAAGGTGATTAGGTAAACACTCCTGATAACTCTAAAAATGGGGAGAAAAATCCCGTTTTGGTGACTGTAGTAAAGGATAAATCAAGATTCACTTATAAAACTGATGAACCGGGAATATTGAAAGACAAGCCTGATGCTTGTTTAGCCCTTAAGAATAGTTCTAGGCCTGAGAATCAAGTGGGTGAAAACAGTAACAATAGATCTATTATAGGAATAGAAGCTAAAACCAGGGGACCAGGGAGTTCTTTTATCAGTTCGGGGTCAATGTGGCATAGACCTAAAATTGATTTACCATTTTTTTTACAGACTCAGATCAGTCCCCACAAGCAGAGGAAGAAACACTGGAAATATCTATGAATGTCATTACTGGTTCTATTGGTCATACCACATTGAGGATACAAGGATCTATTCAGGGTAGACCATTGAATATTCTAATAGATAGTGGGAGTATACACAGTTTCTTGACTCCTAATTGGGTTGATGTTGGTATTCAAATCACTACTCCTTATCCTTTGGCTATTATTGTGGCTAATGATCAACAATTATTCAGTTCAGCTAGATGCAACAAAGTGAAATGGCAAATGCAAGGCCATACATTTACACATGATTTCAGACTGCTTAAGTTGGGGGGAAGTGACATGGTTTTAGGAGTGGATTGGATGAAGTTATTCAGTCCAATATTAATGGACTTTAATAACATGACTCTAAGTTTTGACCATGGAGGGCAGAGGATTTGTATTCAGGGACAGCAGCCTTCAACTGAGCTGCAGCAAATTTTAGGAGCTACCTTACTTAAAATGAGTGCAGGGGATTCTGATCTTATGGGTCATATTGTCCTAATGACTATGACAGGGCATTCTTCTTCCATTCATATTGAAATCCAACATCTACTGGATAAATACATACCAGTTTTTGATGAACCTGTTGGTCTACCTCCCCAGAGGTCTCATGACCATGCAATTCCACTTAAACCTAATGCCAATCCTGTTAATCTAAGGCCTTATAGATTTCCTTATAATCAGAAAGCTGAAGTTGAGAAACAGATAGCTACTATGCTAACTTCTTCTATTATTCAACCTAGCAGGAGTCCTTTTGCCTCTCCCTGCCTTCTTATTAAAAAGAAGGATGACACTTGGAGATTTTGTGTGGATTATAGGCAACTTAACAGTATGACTGTTAAAGACAAATTTCCTATTCCTATAGTGGATGATTTATTGGATGAGCTGCATGGGACAATTTATTTCTCAAAGATTGATCTAAGGTCTGGTTATTGGCAGATTAGAATTAAACCTGAAGATATTTACAAGGCAGCCTTTAGAACACATCAAGGCCATTATGAGTTTAAGGTAATGCTTTTTGGCCTTACTAATGCTCCTGTTATATTTCAAACTCTTATGAATGATTTGTTTAATTCCTTCCTTAGGAAGTTTGTTTTAGTTTTCTTTGATGATATCTTGGTGTACAGCAGCAGTATGGAAGATCATGTTGAACATTTACAATCAGTTTTGGAGGTTTTACAAAAGAACCAATTATTTACTAAATTGTCCAAGTGTTTTTTGGACAGACCAAGGTAGAGTACCTTGGCCATATTATTTCTGTTGCAGGGGTGTCTACTGATCCTAGTAAGGTGGAAGCTATGCAAACTTGGCCGAAGCCTAAAACCCTTAAATCTCTCAGAGGGTTTCTAGGTCTAACAGGTTATTATAGAAGATTTATTCGAAATTATGGCATTCTTAGCAGACCATTGACATTACATTAAAGAAGGATGGCTTCCAATGGAATTCTGTTGCTCATACTGCATTTGAAAATCTTAAGAAAGCTATGTGTTCTGCTCCAGTTTTAGCACTGTCTGATTTTTCTAAGAATTTTTTTCTGGAAACAGATGCTAGTTCTGGGGGTATTGGGGCTGTTCTTTCACAGGAAGGAAGACCAATTGCTTATTTGAGTAAAGCTTTAAGCCCTAGAGATTCAACACTATCTATTTATGAAAGAGAATATCTTACTATTCTCTTAGCTGTGTCAAAATGGAGGCATTATTTGGAGAGCATGCCATTTGTTATTAAGACATATCATGAACCCTTAAGTTTTTTTTGGAGCAGAAGTTGACTACAACTATTTAAAAGAAAGGGTTGACAAAGCTTTTGGGGTTAGACTATACTATTCAGTATAGAAAAGGAAAATTAAATGTGGTTGCTGATGCTTTATCTAGAAGGTGGGAGGATCAAGCTCAATGTATGACTATAGGAGCAACAATCCTAATTCCTACTTGGGTCCAGGAGATTGAAGACAGTTATCAGAATTACTCTTTAGCTCAGAATTGGATTTCAATTCTAACTGTTAATCCAGCTGCTGACAGTAAATGGAAATTGTCTAAGGTTGTTCTTAGATATGAAGGGAGAGTTTATATTGGATCTAATGGAAGCCTTAGAGTGAAAATCATACAGACTTTGCATGACTCTCCCCTGGGGACATTCAGGAATACAAGCTACTTATTACAGAATAAGGTCAATTTTTTATTGGCCGAATCTTAAGTCTATGGTTACTGCTTTTATTAGATGTTGTCAGATTTGCCAACAAATTAAAGTGGAACATATTCCAAAGCCTGAATTACTACAGCCACTGCCTATCCCTAATCAGGCTTGGGAAGTCATAACTATGGATTTCATTGCGGGTTTATCTACTTCACTTAAGAAAAACTGTATATTGGTTATTGTGGATAAATTTACCAAATACAATAATTTTCTATCACTATCTCATCCCTATTCTGCAGTAGAGGTAGCTAAAATCTACTTGGATAATGTGTATAAGTTGCATGGCTATCCTAAAGTGGCCATTTCTGATAGAGATAGAACCTTTACTAGTATATTTTGGAAGGAACTAATGAAACAGTTGGGTACTAAGACCCTTTTCAGTACTGCTTATCATCCTGAAACAGACGGACAAACAGAAAGGGTTAATCAATGTTTAGAACAGTATCTTAGAGGGCTTTGCTTCTATCAGCCTAAGCAATGGGCTAAGTGGTTGTCTCATGCAGAGTGGTGGTATAATACAACTTATCACACTGCCCTAAAAATTACACCTTTTCAGGCTTTGTATGGTTACCAACCACCTATTATGGTTTGGACCACAGAAACTACAGTGCAAGCAGTGCAAGATATGATGACAAGCGGTGCAAGATATGATGACAAACAGAGAGAATATCAGACAATTGGTCAAGCAGCAATTGGAATTAACCAGCAACCGTATGAAGCAACAAACAGATAAAAAGAGATCAGAAAGAGTTTTTCATGTGGGGGATATGGTTTACCTGAAGCTCCAGCCATATAGACAAACTTCATTAGCCTTGCGAAAAAACCTAAAGTTAGCAGCGAAATATTATTGGCCATATAAGGTTCTGGAAAAAATCGGTGAAGTGGCCTATCGATTACACTTACCTGATTCATCAAAACTTCATCCAATGTTTCATGTAAGCCTTCTGAAGAAATTTATCGGGGATTCCTCTATTGCTGCAACGGACCCTCCTGCAATAGATGATGGACATTTCAGAGTTAAACCTCTAAAGATTTTGGCTAAACGTATAGTGAATAGACACAGCAAACCAGTCACTCAGCTTTTGGTTCGATGGGAGAATCTTGATGAATCGAACGAAACATGGGAAGACTATATGGTTTTAAAATCTTAGTTTCCTGGATTTGATCCTTGGAGACAAGGATCTTCTCGTGGGGTGGGTATTGTTATGGTTGGAAGAGAAGAAGAACGGCGAGGAGGGAAGAGATTGGGAATGGACGAGAGAGGGGACGATTTGGGGATGGAGGCTCGAGGGTTAGGGATTAAAAAATGTGAATTGGGAATTAAAATGGAAGAGGGACAGATGATTATGTTACCTGATGAGAGGGAGCAGGCCGAGATGGAGCAGACCAGAAGCACAATGGAGCGACCCAGATCGGTTAGTCCAAATGAAGGCTAAAAAGGGAAATGATACAAAAGCAAGTCTGTTAACAAAAATGCCAGCTGGCAGGAATTAGATTCTCAGTATTATTTTTGTAACTAAATAAAATACCTGTTGTAGTCATCTTTTGCTCATGAATTGAATGACTGAGAAATCATTTCTGTAATCTCTATTCTTCTTCTTCTAAAATCCCAACTTCTTCGATAATTTCTTCTTCTTATTTCCCAATCCACAACACTGTTTCCCTTCTGTTTCTGGGGAAGCTGATGGAGAAAGAAGTTTTCTTTCCAGATCAAGTTACATACACCTGTTTAGTTGATGGTCTTT